TGAAGGTATGAAATCTAGGTACTGGGAACACAGATGTTATTATTTTAATGTTGGCATATTTCATGCATGAAATAAAACCTCCATATCTTTGCAACTGTGGACCTGCTCCACTTTGTCCAGTGGTCTTGGGGAAAGTACTACACCTCTTACTTAGCATGGCTGTTTCTCTGGAGAAAGGAGTGAAGAAGCCTTTGTCCAGTGACCCACAATTGCCTGTGCTGCCAGTCCCCATTCCCCCCAGATGCTTTGGGGTATTCTCTCCTTCCCCTGGTCCTTGGGGTCTGTGAGGTCTCTAGCTACTGACTGATATCACCATTAAGACTATGAAGTGTCCATGCAACGTGAGATGTTGAAAAATCCCAGACTCATTGCTCGGTCCCTATTGGATTCTTTTACGTGAGTGTTAACTTGAATTTTGGTTTACAGTAGGCTCTATTTCTCAACAGAAAGCTTCTGGACAAGTTAACTCCTTCTGAGAGTGCAATTTCTTTGTCTAACAGGAGTTTTGCTTTTTTGGGGGATATGTGATATGGTCCATGAGTAATGTGTGTGTTTGTTTGATTTGCTGCTGTTTGTTTTAGCTCACGGATGTGTACAGTTCATCGCCATCTCTGAGCCGCTATTTTACTTCCATTGAAATAGCAGATTTCAGGTAAGGATGTAGAGCCTTATGTTTTGGTTTCTTTCTTTGGAAAGATACTCCCCCCACCATTTAACTAGGAGGACTTCTCTGCATCTCAGAGCTCTAAGAGCACTATCTTAGTTATCTGGCACTGCTATAACAGAAAATTATAAGTGGGGTGGCTTTAACAAACAAATTTATTTTCTCACAATTGGGGCCGGAAGTCTGGGTTCAGGGCACTGGCTCTAGGGAAAGGCTTCCTCTCCCTGTTGGCTCTGGGGGAAAGGCCTTGTTTCCTGTTTTTTTGGTGATCTTCATGTGGCTCAGCATCTGTTCCCCATCTCTCTGCTTGCTCCTTTGTCTTAATCTGCTCTTTTTGTATCTCAAAGGTGATTGGTTTAAAACACACCCTACACTGATATGGCCTCTTAACATAACAAAGAAAACCCATTCCCAAATGGGATTATAACTACAAGTATAGGGGTTAGGATTTATAACACATATTTTGGTGGTACACAATCCAATTTTGAATGATAAAAGAGAAGGCATAATAGATTGTGTACAATATAGTGCCTTTTGTTTGAATAAAAATATATGTTGCTATTTTTACGTAAGTAGTATATTTATCAAAATACATATGGAACATGCTGAGTTCTGAATAATGGTTACTATTTGGGAAGGGAGGGAAAGGAAATAGTATGGTGTCTAGGATAGCTTTGGCTTTATTTTGTAAAGAACTGAACTATGGCAAAATGTGAAGGTATGAAATCTAGGTACTGGTAACACAGATGTTATTATTTTAATGTCTGATCCTTAATAGGATCAGAATGTTAGTCCTGGGAAGGTCTTTGGAGACTAACTTGCTCAACTCTTTTATTCTACAAATGAGAAAAATGAAATTCAAATTAATGATATGAATCAGCTAAGGTCATATGGAAGAGAAGAAAAGGTTCAGCAAACCATCCATTTTTTAAGTGGATGCTCAAATAAACAAATAGACCAGGCTGTCGTTTGAACAGAACAAGGGTAGTGCATCAGGGTTGTATCCTTTCATTATACTTATTCAATCTGTATGCTGACTAAATAATCCAAGGAGCTGGACGATATGAAGAAGAACTAATGTCAAAAACTGATGTCAAAACAGGCTGGTATTGGTACAATGGCATCAGGATTGGAGGAAGACTCATTAACAACCTGTGATACACAGATGACACAACTTTGCTTGCTGAAAGTGAGGATGACTTGGGGCATTTACTGATGAAGATTGAAGACTACAGTCTGCAGTATGGATAACAGCTCAGTATAAAGAAAATGAAAATCCTCACAACTGGACAAATGAGCAGCATCACAATAAATGGAGAAAAGATTGTAGTTGTCAAAGACTTCATATCCCTTAGTTCTACAATCAACACCATTCGAAGCAGCAATCAAGACATCAGACGATGTATCACATTGGGCAAATCTGCTGCAAAGGACCTCTTTCAAGTTCTGAAGAACAAAGATGTCTTCTTGAAGACTAAGGTGCGTCTGCCCCAAGCCATGATATTTTCAGTCACCTCATATGTGTGTGAGAGCTGGACAATGAATAAGGAAGACCAAAGAAGAGTTGATGCTTTTGAGTTGTGATGTTGGCAAAGAATACTGAAAGTACGATGGACTGTTGAAAGAACTATCAAATCTACCCTGGAAGATGTATAGCCAGGATGGTCCTTGGAAGTGAGAATGGCCAGACTTCATCTCACCTACTTTGATCCTGTTGTCAGAAGGGACAATACCCTTGAGAAGGATATCATGCTTGGTAAAGTGGAGGGTCAGAGAAAAAGGGGAAGGTCCTCAACAAGATGGATTAACACAGTGGCTGCAATGATAGGCTCAGATATAGCAAGGATCATGAGGCTGGTGCAGAACCAGGTAATGTTTTGTTCTGTTGTACGTAGGGTCACTATCAGTCAGAAGTGACTCGACAGGACTGTTTTTAAAAGCTATTTGATTTCCTTATGAAATAAAGAAATCAATACCATTTATGGTAGCTACCAAAAAGATGAAATACTTGGGAAGAAATCTTGCCAGGGACACAAAAGACATGGACAAGGAAAACTACAAAACACTACTTCAAGAAACTATAAGAGAGTTATGCAAATGGAAGAGCATACCATGCTCATGGATAGGAAGACTGAACACTGTAAAATGTCAGTACTACCCAAAGCAATCTATACATTCAGTGCAATCCTGATCCAAATTCCAGCAACATTCTTCAACCAAAACCACTGCCATCGAGCCAGTTCTGACTCATAGTGACTTCCATTGGGTTCCCAAGGGAGTAAATCTTTACAGAGTAGATTTCCCAGTCAATCACTGATTTTATCTTATCTGAGGAAAGAGCCCTCAGATAAGCAAAGCACTACTGAAGAAGAACAAAGTAGTAGGTCTCACATTCCCAAATCTCAAAACCTGCAATATAGCCACAGTTGTCAAAACAGGCTGGTATTGGTACAATGACAGACCCATAGACCTATGGAACATAATTGAGAACCCAGAAACAGATCCATCTACCTATGGTCAGCTGACCTTTGACAAAGGGCTGAAATCCATTAAATGGGGAAGAAATAGTCTCTTTCACAAATGGCAATGGCAAAACTGGATATCCGTCTGCACAAAAATGAGACAAGATCCATACCTCATACCACACACGAAAACTGACTCCAGATGGATCAAAGACTTAAATGTAAAACCAAAATTTATAAAGTTAATCAAAGAAATAAACATAGGGGAAACTTAGGGGCCCTAATATATGGCATAAATAGACTACCAAACATAAGTAAAGATGCACAAACAGCAGAAGATAAAGTAGATTATTGTGACTTTCTGAAAATTGAATTCTTATGCTCATCAAAAGCCTTCTCCAAAAAAAAAAAAGTGAAAAGAGAAACTACAGACTGGGAAAAAATATTTGGCAATGACATATCTTTCAAGAGACTTACATCTAAAATTTCTAGAAAATTCCAACACCTCAACATCAAACAGACAATCCAATTAAAAAATGGGCAGAAGGCATGAACAGACACTTCAGAAAAGAAGATATTCAGGCAGCCAACAAACACTTGAACAAATGTGCGTGATCACTAGCCATGCAAATGAAAACAATGAGATACAAATCAAAACAACGAGATACCATCTCACCCTAGCAATAATAGCAAAATTCAACAAGACAGAAAGTAACAAATGCTAGCAAGGCTGTGGAGAGATTGGGACGCTCATACACTGCTGTTGGGACTGTAAAATCATGCAACCACTGTGGAAGTCAGCATGGTGATTCCTTAAAAAGTTGGAAATAGAAATACCATTTGATCCAGCAATCCTGTTACTGGGTATATATCCTAAAGAAGTGAGAACCAGGACATGAATAGATACGTGCACACCCATGTTCATCACAACACTTCAAAATAGCAAAGAGATGGAAACAACCCAAGTGCCCATCAACAGAAGAATGGATAACCAAACTATGGTACATACACACAGTGGAATACTATACAACACTAAAGAATAATGTAGAATCTATGAATCATCTTGTAATGTGGATGAACTTGGAGGAAATTTTGCTGAGTGGATAAATAAATCATAGAAGGACAAATATTCTGTTAGTCCACTATTGTTAAAAGTCAAGGAAAGGTTTACATATAGAAGGAAACTTTCTTTTTTGGTTATGGGAGATGAAGGGGAGGGGAAGGAAAATTGCCAGATAGGTAAGAGACAAGTATTGATTTGTGAAGGGAAAAGCAATATACCTAAACCAAATGACCAACACAATAACACTAAGGAAAAGGAAAACACACACACACACATATACAGGCAGTTATTTGAAAGCAAACCCCAGGGATTTTAGTATTTTAGATAAAGAAATTCTGTCTGGAAAACATTTTTGTTTCAGTTGAAAAAGTCCAGACTAAGTTTCTAAAATGCTAAATTGAGAAACAAAAGCCATTGTCACCAAAAGGTCCATCTGCTGCCATCCGTGGGCAAGAGACAGACATATCCCTGGCATACATATGTGGTATCTCGACTTCAGGCCTGATAAAAATGCCCTTTGGCTCACAGACTGCTAGACTTGCTCCAGTGCTGGGTAGCTGACATGCAGCTCACAGGGTTTCACTGCTTCCATGAAAATCCTGTCTCTCCCCTTGCAATTCAGCCTTATAAACCCACCCAGTGACCTGACAGGGCTAGCCAGGTCAGCTAGGCACCCTACTCCTCTCATTCAGGTTCTGATCTGGTTTCCTGAAAGTCAGCCTCTAGGTATTTTCATAAACCCAGTCCTGGGTCCTAGTTTGTGGGAGTTCAGGGTGATTGCCCATAAAGGTGTTGACCATCATTAGTGTTAATTAGAAGGTGGAGCACAGAGAACAAGTAAGGGCCTCTGCTAACTAGGGTAACCAAATTAGAATTTGAAAGTGCAGTTTTCAATCTGTCTGTAGTATTTCAGATTGGCATCATTGGAACCATGAGTTTCTCCAGAGTCCAAGCTGTATTTCTTTCAGTCACAGGGTTTGGCACACTTCTTGCCAAACCTCATTAAGAAACAACAACAACAAAGAAAACACAGTTGCTGCCCAGTCGATTCCAACTCACAACCACTCCATCCATGTGGGTCAGAGTAGATTTATGCTCCATAGGGTTTTCAATTGTTGACTTTTTGGAAGTAGATTGCCAGGTCTTTCTTCTAAGGTGCCTCTCACTGGCCTTGAACGTCCAGCCTTCTGATTAGCAGCCAAGTGCATTAACTATTTGCACTGCCCAGGATTTCCTCTGAGGTCTACTGGAATTTATTAACTGAATTGACAGCCACTTCACTTTGGTTTTTCACTGTGTGAGTACTGGCCTGTGTGGCCTCTGGCCACAAGAGGGAGCTCTTTACCCCTCTCCTGCAGGAGCAACCTGGTATGAAACTTACCCTAGGGGAACAGTCCTAGATGTGAGCACCTGTTAATTATTTTACTATCAGCTCTTAATCGAAGCCTCTTGAGATAAAGTCATAGGGTAACTGAACACTTAAATGGTAACTAGTGATACAAACTGCTAATTAACTGAAAGCAGCCATATGATTATTTTTATTTTGCAAATGGTAAAGATAAGTTCCAGGAAGATGAAAACTGCATTTCCATAGGTCCCATTACTAAGAGCTAACAAAACTTGGTCTTCTGCCATAGGGGCCTCCAGAGCTGGAAACAGGGCAGAGTTTCCTTGGGTTTCTGATATCTCTACAGAAGTCGATTGCCCAGTCTTCCTTCTGGGGAGTGGCTGGTGAATTTGAACCACCAGCCTTCTGGTTAGCAGTCATATGCCTTAGGCACTACACCACCAGAGCTCCCAGGAAGGTGCAATTTATGGCTGATGCACAAGGCAGTCTGTGGGAGCTGGAGTTCTGGACCCAGCCAATGATGTGGTGCTTTAGTGTCTTACCTTAAACATGGTTATAGGTGAAATAAAGACCTGGTTAAACTGAATAACTGACACAGACTTGCAGGGGCGGGAGACGATATACAGGGAATGTTTGAGGAGATGAGGGCAGGTTTACTTGTTTTGCCCTAGGGGATGAAAGGTACAAGTCTGGGGCAGACATTGTATGTGCCAAGTCAGAGTCTTCCTTGGACAGTAGCTGGGCCCATTCTTTCCTTAGATATCTCTTGCAAGTAGACTCCTACTTGCCAGATAGGAGGAAGGAGAACACTAAGATAAACCCACATTTTTGAGATGGAACCATGGGAGAGATTCTTCTAGCACAGTACCCCTTGCTATGTTGTATTTGAAGAAAATGCTGAACTGAAAAACGTTACTGTTCATATTGATTTCTCATGTTGCCTTGTGATTTGGCGTATATGTTTTATTGTCTGTTTGGTTTGCCTTTCAGTGGTGACAATGCTACAGTAACTTACCACCTGCAATTTGGGGTTCCATCAGAAGATGATGGTTTTATGAAGTACATGATGAATGAAGAGTTGGTGCTGGGCATTTTGCTACAGGACATCCATGATCAGAACATATCTAGTTGTGAAACTCTGGGGCTTGATCCAACATCCTTCTCATTCTTTGGTAAGTAGAGCGAGTAAAAGGCAAAGTTGTAGTGATAAACAAGTAAATCAAAACTGGGGACCAGTCGTTTAGTATGTCAACTTCGATGCCTTGGTATCATGTCAAATCACTCATTCATTCATCGGCCCAAGTTTTTTGCATGAGGGTGACATTCCAGGCTCTGTGGACACATCAACTGTGTAGTTGGAAAATAAATCTTGGAAGAGATAAAGTATAAGGATGAAGATTGTTAAATCTTTCCTTGTTGCAGTTAACCTACATTTTAAGGCTTGTTCCAAATATCGTTAGTAACCATCATATGAACACTGTAGTTTCACAAGAGAGGTAAGTGTAGAAGAATTTGAAATGAAGGGTATAGCTAAATTGTTGAAAATTATCTCAAGGTGAAGAGCCTACTTTTTTTTTTTTTTTTTCCATCTCTGTTGAAGGCCACTGAGTCCATTACAAAATTAACGTTGTTAACTGGTGTTGTTGATTATGACTCATAGTGACCCCACATGACAGAGCAGAACTGTGTCATAGAGTTTTCTAAGCTATAATCATCAAGGAACAAATTCCCAGGTCTTTTTCAGATGAAGCCAGTGGGTGGATTCAAACTGCCAACCTTTCAGTGAGTGGCTAAGTGCTTAACCATAGAGGGGCTTAAAAGGCAAATTAATTTATTTCCTTAAAAACGATAAAAATAGTTTACTCAGCTACTTTTAAAGTTAAGAACAGAACAAAACATTGGTATTTTATTGAGTAAATATGGTGAACACTGTGCTTGTCAGGTTCTGAAAATTTTAATACTTGGCATAAAACCTGGCAAAAAGGAAGGTGAGGTGACTCCAAGCCTTTGAAATTTCCTTACATTGTAGTTATACTAAAGCTTTGTCCTGATTTCTTCTCATTTTTCACGTATGATTCCTCTCTTGGAGGCATATCAGCTCTTAGCTGGTGCCAACCATCTTGGCTATTTTAATTTTTACCCACAATATATCAGAAACTTTCTCTGATACATTAGGAGGTGCCCAATAAATATTAGTTGAATGAGTGAAAGAAGCAAGTTGGAAGGATGTGTGGTTAGCAGGCAGGCACAGTGCCAGCAGCTTAGAATGAGAAGAGAGAGCAGAAAAATCATCAAGCACAAATGTGTCACTGCATAATAAGAGAACACGTGTTTATGATGATGACAGTTATTTGGAGAGAAGAAGGAGGGAGAGTAGACTGTCCTTGGTTTAAAGAAACAAAAAGTTATCTAAAGCAGTTCTTAAAGATTTGTTTTCACAAATGAAGAAAAAGAATGAAATTTAGCAGGTCAAGTTTTAGCTAACTGAAGAAGCCGTGTACATGAATAACTGCCTTGCAAAGCATCCTGAACAGATAAAGTACATCTGGGTAGTGCAAATTGTTAACATGCTCAGGAGATACCAAAAGGTTAGTGGTTCAGATCCACTCAAAGATGCCTTGGAAGAAAGGCCTGGCAATCTACTTCCAAAAAATCTGCCACTGCAAACGCTATGGAGCACAGTTCTGCTCTGACACAGGGGGTCGCTGTGAGTGGGAACTGACTTGACCGTAACTGGTTTGATTTTGGGTTTTGGTCTGTGGGATAGGCACATAACATTTGTGGAGCTATGAGCTTATATCTCATATCCAGGAATTTTTAAAACAAGAAAATCTATACCGTTTCCTGTGTAAGAGGTGGTAGGAGGGCTATCCTGCATGAGATGCCTGTGGCAGCTGCTGTTGTTGTGTGACTGGTCTCAATTTTCTGAGGCTGTCTGTCTCTGTTAAATTGTGATGCTAGCTTTTTCCAAAGGTGGCAGGGGAATTGAGAGGAGAGTGAGAAAAGATTTGAGAGAATTATGTTCTCGAGAAGACACTCTAGGTCATGCAAATGGCTAATGCATTTGATTGCTGACCAAAAGGTTGGAGATTCACGTCCACCCATGGGTGCCTTGGAAGAAAGGCCTGGTGATCCACTTTTGAAAAATCAGTCACTGAAAACTCTGTGGAGTACGATTCTACCACTAATTAGGCTGCCTGGAGGGCAACTTATTTTCTTTTTTTTTTCCCCAATGCATTTGGGAGGCCTATACAGAGTACCTGTAACACATGGGGTTGTCACATGTAAAAGTGGCAGTACATGGTGGCATCTGACCTCTAACTTCACAAAGAGGAAGGAGAATCACATCCCAATCAACCTGAAGACTGATTCCCATAAGGTGGAGGGCAGACACACCTCCTCTCTCCAATCTTTGTACCAATTCTGACACCAACCATCCCTCCCACGGCACCCTCTACTTCTCTGCTGAATTTGATAATTTGTTGCAGTGGCCACACAGACCTCACAGACCATACTCACAATTATGGCATTCATTAAGGAAACAACAAGGTACAATTTGTGACAAGGCTTAACAGGCTACGACTTGGGATCAGGCTTAGGAAGCATGTTGGCAAAGTCTCCCTCTTTCACTGCAACAGTGCTCTATCAGTTCCTCTCTGCCTTGTAGGATTCTTCTAGGTCCTATCCTCTATCCAAGAGGATAGGCTCCTCTTGGCCTCTTGAGGACAAGCCTCTTCTCATGGGCCGCTGCTCCCTCTTGGGCCTGGCCTTTGTCCTGCTCAGTCAAGTGTTACTTGACTAGCTGGGCATCATCTAGTTCTTCTGGTCTCATAGTCATACAGGCTGAGGATTGCATGCTGTACCAGTCACTTGGACTAATTGTTCCCATGTGTCTTTGGTTTTCTTCATTCTTCTTTGCTCTGGATGAAGAGAGTCCCATCATTGCATCTAGATAGCTGCTTGCAAGATTTTTAGATTCCGGTCACTACTCACTAAAGTAGGATGTGGAGCAACATTTTTGTGTAGCATGCTGTGCCAATTGAGCTTGATGTCCCCTGAGCCCACAGGTCCAACTACTCACTCACTCTGAGTAGATGGCTGTGGCCAAGAAGCCACCTCAACCTTGCCCCTTGTCAGCTCAACTATATACCTGGTAATTTTTACAGAACATAGCAATACACTTGTAGAAACATGGTTCTCTCAGACTTTCTTAGTGGAAGTTTGCTGTGATCCTAGACCCCACTTACCAGAGCATGAATTTGCAGTATTTGAGGCATTTGATATTCTCAGGAATATAAGGATTCCTTCAAATAGGAGTTACGAAGTGACCTGTTAGGAAGGGGGGAAGGAAAAGGAGAGAACCAGAGAAGGCATGCAGACAAAGGGAGGAACCAAGCTCAGAGGCAAACTACAAAGAGAGAGAAGAGTTGTGGACATAGAGAGTCAGAGGCCCCTGGGAGGGATGAGGGAGGCCTAGTGAGTTCTTAGTTAAGTTTCCCATGTTCATGTGAGCTGTGTGTTTTGTGAGGCTGCCTCTACACCTCTGTAACTAGCTGGGGACGTCATTTCCTACAACGATACTGTTCTCATTCTTCAAAGAGGAAGAAGTCTTAAATTTTTTTGGTTTCAGTGTTCTTTGGAGAGATTGAAGACAGCCATGTATTTTCTTACCAGGAAAAAAAAAAAAATGCACATACTTCCTCCCTACCCAAGAATCCCTTGAAGTGACTCCATAGTCTCTTGTGGTTCACATGTCTGCACTTTAGAGGCAGAACCTTCAATTACATTGTAATTTAGATTCCTGGGTGTTTGTGTGTGCTTCTTTTTCCTAAATTTGGAAATATGGTGTATATTTTGACATGACTGCAGGCATATTTTCATACCTTGTAAAAATAAAAACTTCCTTTATTTTTTTATTTTTAAATTTTATTTTGATTTGGGTGAAGATTTACAGAGTAAATTCACTTTTCATACAGCAGTTCACATAATAGACTTTGTCTCATGTCATTCACCAAAATTTACAATGCAACAGCTCCCCTCCCACTTCCTCCCCATAGTTACCTCTTCCCAGTGTCCATCCTTCCATATTCTTCTGTGCCCTGAGCTGTCTCCCTGTGCATAAGCAGCCCTTCCTTCTCCCATGATTGTTCTCTCCAGGGTGTGT